CTCCCGAGTGCTGGGATTAAAGGCATGTGCCACCAATGCCCGGCTTCTCCAATTTATTTGTAACTTGCTTTTCAGAAGGAAAAACACACACACACACACACACACACACACACACACACACACACGTAGAGACACATGTTTTTGTACATATACACATGCACGTGTGAACACATACACACAGAATTTTTGTAAGTGGAGGAAGTATTTACTTTTTTTCCCCTGAGTGTTAAAAAGAAACGAAAGTGTTAACCCACTTCACTGAGGAGAGGGGGAAAGTGATGTGTTTCTGTTCTCAAACTCAGCCTGAAAACAACAGGGCTTCAGGGGGCTTGTAGTACAAGCGGACCAGGTACACTAGGGACCAATGGACTGCGTCCTCACAGCAGTGGACCCAGTCCCCAGAATCTAGCTTCCTTGTCTCCTGTTCTTCCTGTATTCTTTTGGAGCAGACTTCTCTCAGGCCCCTGGATTCTCCACCATCTTTGAAGCTCTTGTGGGCCCGCCTTTGACTCTGGGCCTTTGCAGGCACCTGACTCTGGATTCTTTACAGGCATGGGAACCCCTGGCTCTTCCTTCTAGAAAGCCTCATCCAGAAAATGAGCATTGAGTAGAGATTTAGGACCCGTTTTCTGTGCTCTCACTAGTGAGAAGTGTTCTGGCTTACATGACCTATTTGCTATGTGTCTGTCAGCATGTCACTAACCTTTCCTAGTAGAGACATTCCTATGACCTCTCCCTTTTTTACTTTGATTTTAACAGTGGGCATTTGAAGCATTAGGGGTATTTAAATCCATACCCCAGGAAGAGACTGCTTATTTAGCCTGTTACCAGCTACTAATACTTTTTAGTATTAGTCTTCATCACTTTACATTCAGAGATACCAGGGATTCTAGAGCAGGAGTGGTAGGCAGAGAGAAAGAAGGGAGCCTGGAATGGGAGAGATCCTTTCTGAGCTCTGCCTTGTTTGAAAATGCTCAGTACAGCATTACCAGGTCCCTGAAGGGAGGTGCTGTGACACTCAGCTTATTTGTGATAAGGGCTGGCCCATGTTTTAGATTTGATCTTTTCTTGGCCCAAAGGTGTCACTGCCATATGGTATCAAAGCTTTTTGCTGTGAGGAACCAGTTTCTGGAAGACTGCTCTGGCAAACTGAGGCTGCTCATCTCAGATGAGTTCTCCCTGGGAAGGGCAGGGGATAGCTACCTTAGGAGATGAAACTCTGAAGAGGAAACATTTCCTGGCCAGAGACTCCCATGGACTTAGATAACATTCCAGTTCCATAGACAAAGCAAGCCCTTGTGTGGCTGGCAAGCAAAACTTTGATAAGGCTCACAAGCCCAAAACTGTCACTCTGCAAAGTCGAGTCCACATTGTTCCTGGGGGGTGAGAGGAGAGGAAGAGCCCAGAGGCAGAAACAATAGGAGCCACACAGGGACCTGATCCAGAGGGCAGGAAGGAGAATGGGAGACTTGGGGGGCTCTAAAGGCATGAGGGACAAGACCAGTATTGGACAAGGAGCATTTAATACTGTTTTTTTTTTTTTTTTTTTTTTTTTTTTTTTTTTTTTTTTTGGCTTGGGCAGAGGGCAATGCCATGACAGTGTTCATTGCTAAGTGGTGGTTGTTCCACCACTGAGTAAGTGGAGTTCCAAGGGGAGCTGGGTTCTGCAAATAGGTAAATAAAGAACCAACACGGGAGCCCCTCTTCTTGGACACACTGTATTTCCCTTAGTCATTTTTTTTCCCATTTGAAGGCTAGGCTCTCTTTTCCCAGTTCTGTGTTCAGGGAAGTTCCCTTCTGGTAACATTTTGCCAGCATGTTCTCAGTGACTCGGGAAGGTCTGAACCAGGGTATCTTGCCATGCTAGCACCAGGTAGAGGGGGATGCACAGACTTGCCTTGATGCCCTTTCACATTGCTTATCAAACCGATGCACTTCTGGGAGCATCACAGGAAAGTTGGGTGACCTGGGAGAATAGCCAAGGGCATACTTACTGTAGAGGTCAGTTTCATCCAGGATCTCCGACTTGATGATCTCTTCTATGATGTCCTCCAGTGTGACAATGCCCATCACCTCATAGAAAGGGTCCCCTTCGCCTTCATTGTTCACCCTCTGGACAATGGCCAGGTGAGATTTTCCTTGAGAACAAATGAAACCATAGTTAGGCATCCAGGTCACTTTCAGAGATTTCTGCTCATGAGAAAAACAATACAAAGTTTCTGTCTGACTAGTATCAGGACTGAACTCACACAACCATCTGAAAATAGGAAATCTGGGTGCAAGCTCTTACAAATGGAAGCCTGGTACTTGGATGAAATACAGTTGTTTATTACTCAGTGACAGGGGCAAGTTCTCACAGTTTCATTGTGTGACCACTGCAGAGTATGCTTGCCCTGGCTTGTTTTCTGTCAACTTGACACAAGCTAGCATCATCACAGAGGAGGGAGCCTTAATGGAGAAAATGCCTCTATAAGATCAAACTGTAGACAAACCTCTAGGACATTTTCTTAATTAGTGATTGATGCGGGAGGGGCCAGCCCATTGCGGTTGGTGCCACCACTGGGCTGGTGGTCCTAGCAAGCCAGTAAGCAGCGCCCTTCCATGGCTTCTGCATCAGCTCCTGCTTCCAGGTTCCTGCACTGAGTTCCTGCCTGGCTTCCCACAATGGAATGTGATATGTAAGCCAAACAAACCCTTTTCCTCAACTTGCTTTTGGTCTAGGTGTTTCATCATAGCAATAAAAACCATAACTAAGATAGCACTTATGCAAACTAAGATGCAAACTAAGATGACATCACCAGGTGAAAATTTTATGAGAAGACCATTCTCCACAGTCTCTTGTTGGCAGGAACATCACCATGTGGCACTTGAATATATTTTATAGCTGTATTTGGTACATAGGTTGGGCACATTTATATAGGGTACAGTGTGACATTTGAGAACATTTACATAAAGTATAATGGCCCGATCAGGGTAATTAGAATGTCTACCACCTCAATTCTCATCGTGTCTTGCATCAGGTCTGTGTGTGCTAGCTGTTTTGAAATGCATGGTTAATTGTTGTCAAGTGGGGTACTGTACTGTGTTGTGAGCCATTAGAAGAAACTCTTCTGTCTACACACCACTGCACCAGCTAACCACCCTCTCTCTAGCTTTCCTCCCATTTCTCCTTGCTTCTGGAAACCTTCTATACCTATGCTTCCTTTTAGGGAAGCTATCTAACATATCCACATTCATATTTTTTAATTTGGACTTTCACACACTAACAAGCTGGAGGAGACTGAATAATCTAATTGAAAGAGCAAGACTGGGGAAGAATTAGAAGTGAGTCTTCCTGTTTAAGTCACTGCTTTTGGGCAAATTATTTAGCTTTCACTGAGTTGCCATCTCTCACATAAAATCAGGGACTAGTAAAGGTGGTGATTAAAAAACAAGACTGCCAAATTCTTGCAACTGCTTCCATGTAAGGGTGTGGCTAATACATCCTGCCCCTGAACCTGGGAGGGCTTGCGACTACTTGAACCAATAAGACTTGGAGGTGTCCTGGGCCTGGGTGATAAAAGGCAACGACTTCCGCTGTAGAAACCCGTGAGTAGCCTGCTGACTATCCCTAGGCCACCATAGTGTGAGAAGGCATGGTGAGAGTGGGTTGATTCAGCCTTTCTTGTCTTCTCTAGCAGTGGCCTGGGCACTGGAGAGCAGAGAGAAGTCATTCCTGTTGTACCTTTCTTAGGGCCTGGTTCAAAGAAGCCATTAGCATAATAAAAGGGGGACTGTTTCCTACCTGTTTTGGGGTATCTTGTTTGCAATAATAGAACTAGAATAACCAGTGCCCAGGAAGTGGCCATGCAGCTGGTGGATATGTCAAAGGTTTTGTACAGTAAGGCAGCACAGGCAGATTGAGTTTCATCTTGGTTATCAACTTGATTGGATTGAGAGATATCTAGGAGGTTACTAAAGCACACTTCTGGGTATATCCATGAAGGCATTTCCAGAAGGGATTAACAGAAGGAAGAAGATCTACTCTGAACGCCTGTGGCACCACCAACATGCCTCAGGCCAGATGGGACAGCAGGGAAATAAGGAGAAAGCCTGCGTCCACAGTCATCTCTCTCTGCTTCCTGGCCCCATGATGGAAGCTACTCTTTCTTCCAGCCACCAGGCCTTCCCACAGAGACAGGATGGAACCATGAACTAAATAAATCTTTTGTTGTTTAAGTTGTTTATACCAGGAACTTGTCACAGAGATGAGCAGTCTGACTAACATTGCAGGTGTCTTGTTTTTATTTAATGACTTAACAGCCGCTAATGTTTATTGAGCTTTTACTACATGCCAGACATTGTTTGAAACACATGACACACTTCAAGTTATTTAATCCTTAAAAGAGCCCTGAGATGAGTAGCAGCATTACACTCATTTCTCAAAGAACTGAGGCACAAATTGGGTTAGTGATAGGCCTCAAGTTGCACAGCTTAAATTTGGCAGAGCTGGACTGCTGGCTTCGGTTCTAACCTGAGGCCTTCCCTTCCCCCTCTTTTTCCTGATAGAATCAGATCTGGAGTTCACATGTGCTAGGAGAGCATTCTATTGCTGATCTCTGTCCCCAAGTCCCATTAGATGTATATTCTTTTTATTATTTATAATACCTGATCCTATGAGACTATGGTGTTGAACGCTGAGGGTGTGCTGTCAGGATAACCCATATGGACATGCCCACTTCATATGTAATCTCCTTACTCACCCCCCATTTCTCCGGCCCCTCCCAGAATTTTCTCTTTCCTTTCCTGTGTCTTCAGTTCTCAGATGAATTGAAAACACAGCCACTATCATTTTGCAACTTTTCTGGCTTGTTTGTTAGGATGAGAGTAAGGGTGTGTTGTAACTACTTTCTAAGTTTTGGAGGGGCTGACTTAGTCTTAGAAGTTTAGCTCATGTTAAAAAGACTTCACGTGCCGGGCAGTGGTGGCACACACCTGTAATCCCAGCACCTGGGAGGCATAGGCGGTGGATCTATGTGAGTTAGAGGCCAGCCTGATCTAGAGAGCTAGTTCCAGAACAGCCAGAGCTGTAACACAGAGAAACCCTGTCTCAGAAAAAAAAAAAAAAAAAGACTGAGTGTAAGTATATATTTTCCCTAGGCATAATCTTCATAGACAACTTAGAGGCCTATTTTGATTATAAACATTTTTTTTTTTGTGGTGTGTGTGTGTAAGAGAAAGTAGAAATGGAAGTTTCTGTCCAGCCTGGTCCTATAGTCATTTAGTCCCAAATAAGCACACAGAGGCTTATATTAATTATAAACTTTTTGGCCTATTGCTCAGGCCTCTTATTGGCTAGTTCTCTCTTAATTATTAACCCATTTCTATTAATCTGTGTATCTCCACACAGTCTTGGCTTACTGGTGATGCCGGGGTCTGTTGCTTCCTTGGCAGTTGCATGGTATCTCTCTCTCAACTCACTCTCTTGTTCCTCTTCCCAAAATTCTATTCTGGTAGTCCCATCTATACTTCCTACTTAGCTACATCTTGCCTGTCCATTAGCCTTTATTCATCAACCAATATGCTATATTCACAGCATACAGAAGGATGTCCCCCATCGAGAGAAAGAGAGAGAGAGAGAGAGAGAGAGAGAGAGAGAGGGAGAGAGAGAGAGAGAGAGAATCTTAATCTACTTACTTGTCTATTGTTTCCACATCTTGGCTACTTAAATGATGCCACAGTCAACATGGGGGTCAGCTATCTTTTGGAGGTCCAAAATCCATATTTAAGAAAAATTTATTTTGAGACAAGGGCTCACCAAGTTACCCAGGCTGGTCTTGACCTTGTGATGTTCCTGCCTTCTGAGAAGCTGGTATTATGGGCATTTGCAGCTAGGCCTGGCTGAAGTATTTTCTAATAGAACTCCATCATGTTAGTCTGTCTCCTTTTATAGTATAGACGTAATTTCTGTTTCTAAAATGCAAACCCAAGTGGTTCTTTTTTCTTAGTTACAGGACATTTATAAAGAGAAAATCTGAGGTACTGACTCAGATGAGCTGGTCTTGAAAAAGATCCCAAAGCAGCTTTTGCTTGCTTATTGTTAAAAGTATCGTTCAAGAATAAAAAGAAGTGGTCAGTTTTCCAGAAGCATAATTAGCTGTCATTTAACTTTCTTGTTGTTGTGATAAATACCTGACAAAAACCACCTAAGGGAAAAAGGGTCTATTTCCCCTCACACTTTCAGCTTCTATCCCATCAAGGTGGGGAAGTAATAGCAGCGGGACCTTGGGGACAACTGTATCCTTGGGCAAGAAGCAAAGAAAGATGCCTGATGCATTAGCTCACTTTCCCCTTTAGACAGTTCAGGCCCCAGCCTGGAGAATGGTGCCACCCATTGGTGGCTCTGCCCACTACCATCAACCCAATCAAGATAAACCCTCACAGGTAACCGTAGAGGCCCATCTCCCAGGTAATCCCTGATTTCATTAATTGGCAATTGGGATTAAGCATCACCGATATTAACTATCACACAGACACTGCTTGGGATTTTAAATGGAAATGAAATTTTAATTCATAGGTGGTAATTTTGCCACCTATGAATGGTCTCTAAAATTTCCCTACCTTCTCCCTATCCTTTGATCTATTTCTACACTTCTATCTCTGCCGTAGTCATGCTCAAGAACTCTCCATATAGCTCATATTCTGCTTCCCTGATACCTGCAAACATTCAGTTAGGTGTACTAGTGGCAGGTAATTTGTGGGTCCATTTTATTGGAAAATCTTTTCCCAACTCTTTACTCTGAGATACTGTCTTTGAAGTTGAGGTGTGTTTCTTGTATTCAGCAGAAGAATGGATTCTGTCTTCGTATACATTCTGCTAGTCTGTGTCTTTTTATAGGAGTTAAGATCATTAATATTGAGGGATATTAATGACCACTGATTGTTCATTCTTGTTTGTTTTGGATTTTTTGTGTGGTATTTTGATAATAAAGCTTGTTTGGCATCAAAAAAAGAGAACTCTCCATATAATGGTTAATATTGGCTGTCAACTTGACAGGGTCTATGAAACACCAGCGTTTGGGTATGTCTGTGAGAGATTATCTGGATAGGTGCATACAGATGGGAAGAGCCACTCTAATTACTGACAAAATAAAACAGC